AAAAAGATTACAGAGGGAGGGGAGGAAATGTCCGGCTGGCTAAACTTCTCCCCAGTCTGTCACTGTGTTCTCTAGCCGGGCCCCAGTGCTCGCTGCTTTCATGGCCGCCACGTGGATTGAAACCGTAGGTCTTTTCTCTCACCCCCTGGGGTCCAGTGCGGTGATAAGAGAAATTCTGATATCCGCACCGTCCACCAAGCGGCCCCGTGTGGCTATTTGAGTGCTTGAAAGGGGACTGAGGAACTGAATTTTAAATGTTATTTCATGTTAATGAACTTAGACTCAAACGTATACACTACCCGTGGCTAGTGGCTACCGTATTGAACAGTACCAGACTACATAGTGAGCTGCAGAAGGTGAGGGCAGGGCCTCCCCAGGTGCGGCCCCCACTGTCCAATAGGGGAACTAGGTGTTTTGGGGGCACCCTCTGGGGTCAGACTCCCTGGGTCCAAACCCCAGCTCTGGGAAACCTTGAGGAAGTGACGTAATCTTGTTTGTACCTCAGTGTTTGCAGCTGTAAAATGGAGCGTTGTGAAGTGGGCCTGAAAAAGCGTTGCAAGTTATTGAATCGAAGGGCAGAGCAAATGAATGTGCATTGCGTGATCTTTCCAACGCGTCTGCATGAGATTTTTTTTTTTTTAATAATAAAAGTTGGAAAAGTAAATGCTCGTTCTATTCTACGAGACTGCTCTGGGCATTCCGGGGTGCCTGTAAACACGTGCTTACCTCAGTGCCTGGCACCTAGAAACAATGGAGGCCTTAAGAAGCTGAGCAAGCATTTACCTGGCAAACATCTCTTCTCTGTCACGTGCCACAGACATAAAGACAGAAGAAACAGTAACACGTAGTGAGCACCTTCTAGATGCCCGGTACCATCCTAACCATTCCATGTATTAACTCATTTTAATCTCCACAACCCTCTGAGGCAGATGCTAATTATTATTTACTTTAGGACAGTAATATTGTTGCCTCTTAATTTTTTTATTTTTTAAATGTTTGACATTGACTTTCTCTTCTATAAGCAGATATTTTTATCTAAATCAGGCAATTAACATTGGACTTCAATTATCTAATTTGTGGGCTTTCTTGAGATTTTTTTTTCCCCAGTTACTTAAATCATGTCTCTTGTAGCAAAAGAAAATTCTGGCTCATGCACTGCAGTCTGTGGTCAGGGCTCCTTATTCCCCTTTCATCTGGAACACGGTCTCTGTCATCCTTTGTTTCATGACATGGATATTTCTGAGGAGCAGAGGTGATTTGCTTAGTAGGAGGTCCCTCAGTTTGGGCGCGTCTGATGTCCCCACACGGTTAGGTTCAGGATGTTTTGCCCAGTACCATGGAAAGCGATGCTGTGTCGTTTCTTGGGACATCGTATCAGGAGGCCCAAGATGTGTGTCTGTCCGTTACGAGTGATGTTAACTTTGATCACTCGGTTAAAGTGGTGCTTCCAGGGTCTTTCTTTCTTTTCTTTCCTTCCTTCCTTCCTTTCTTTTTTAAGGATTTTATTTTTAAGTAATCTCTATGTCCCACGTGGGGCTTGAACTCACGACCCTGAATCAAGAGTCATAGCTCCTTGGACTGAGCTAGCCAGGCACCTCCCCGGGCGGTGTGTGGGGGGGGATGTCTTTTTATGTCAATATTCCTTCCTATGAAATTATCTCATGGGGAGAAGCTCACAGGACTCAGAGAAACATTTTACTTACTACATCACCGGTTTATTATAAAAAGATATAACTCAGAACAGCCAGATGGAAAAGACACATAGGCCAAGGTATGGGGGAGCCTCCATGCTCTCTGAGCGCACCACTCCCCCCACATCTCCAGGAGATCACCGACTCAGAAGCTTTCCAAACCCCATCCTTTGGGGTTTTTATGCAGGACATACTGCATAGGCAAGACTGATTAAGTCATTGGCTACTGGGGACTGATTATTCCATCCCCAGCCCCTCTCCCCTCCCAGGAGCTCAGACGGGGTGGGAATGAATCTAATCACCTGACTGGTTCCCCAGGCAACCAGCCCCCACCCTTCGGCGCTTTCCAAAAGTTCCCTCATTAACATAAACTCAGGTGTGACGGAAAGGGGTTTGTTATGAATATGAAGACACTTTTATTGTTCTTATCATTCAGGAAATTCCATAGGTGTTAGGAACTCTGTGCCAGAAACCAGGCCAAAGACCAAATATGTATTTCTTATTTTAAATCAAAGTATAGCATCTATTACTGGCTCCTGCCTGAATCAGTTATTATGAAGGTTCCTAAATGGTGATGTTCTGATTCCATCACTCCCTCTACATTCACTTGTTGACTTGTGACTATAAGAAAGAGTTTTCGCTTATTTATTTATTGACTTACACCCTTTTAAAAAAAGATTTTATTTATTTATTTTGAGAGAAAGAGAGAGCAGGGGCAGGGGGTGGATAGCAGAGGAAGAGGGACAAGCAGACTCTGCGCTGAGCATGGATCCTGACATGGGGCTCGATCTCACGACCCTGAGATCATGACTTGAGCCGAAATCAAGAGTCCGACGCTTAACCAACAGAACCACCCAGGCGCCCTGACTTACTCACACCCTTAATATCACTATGTAGTCATGGATTCCTGTTTATTCAATGGGTTATAATCCTTTACTATCATTTAATTTGGTGCTCAACTTGCCCCAGATTTGGTCATAGACAGCCCCTTTCAGATGTGTCCTTTTGACACACTCCCATCATTCTTTGACTATTTTCTTACTTTGTAGGTCACCTCTGTTTTAAAGATGAAGAAACTGAGGCACAGGGACTTGAGTAACTTGCCCACTTTATACTGATGGTAGCCACGGGATCAAGATTTGAAGGCTAGCATTGTGGATCCAGATCTAAGCTCTTAGCAACTCAGCCAGGGTGCGTCTTTACCGGGGCCCAAACCATGATTTCATGTTCACAGCTGTATCCCCACCACTCAGCAAGATGCTTGACCCATGGTACATGTTAAATAAAAATGTATGAAGGGGCGAGTCTGCTTGCCTCCCTCTGCCCCTCCCCCGCCTGCGTGCATGCATTCTCTCTCTCTCTCTCTCAGATAAATAAATCTTTTTTAAAAAATGTACGAAATCTGGAGTGCCTGGCTGGCTCAGCTGGAGGAACGTGAGACTCTTGATCTCAAGGTCATGAGTTCGAGCCCCAAGTTGGGCGTAGAGCCTACTTAATTTTAAAAAATGTATGAAATGAATAAATGAATGAATGACCCCTCTGTCATATCCCTCAGGTCCCACCTTCCCTCCTTTCCGACCTTAAATCCATTCTGAATCACGACAGTCTCTCTTTTGCATGCACGCTCGAGCCCCCAGCTTTGTCCCATTGACAAGGCAATCTGGCAATGTCCCCCTTTCCACCTGCTCAATCCTTGTACCCATGTAAGTGACCAAAGCTGGAGAAAAATCACACAACCCTGCTGGAAAGTCTTACTTTAAATTCATGACTCATAACCTCCAGTGGGCCCTTAATTCTAGAAGTCAGCCTACACAGTCAAGTCCATTCCCTTGCCTGCGCTCTGATGTCATACCTTCTCAGCTCCCCACAAAGTGACTCCTGTTACCCCCTCGAACATCAAACAAGTGAGGAACGACTCAACATGATTAGTCTTCAGGGAGATGCACCCGAAAACCACCATGAGATACTACATCACATCTACAGATGGGATAACTTTTAGAAGAACTCCGAACGACACCATACGTTGATGAGAATGTGGAGTTACAGGAACTCGTATTCATTAGCAGGACTGTTTTTAACAGTACAACAGGTTTTGAAGAGGGTCTGGTAGTTTCTTCCTAAGCTGAACACATGCCAATCCTCTGACACAGCAATTCGGCTGCGGAGAATTTACACATGAGCAACGAAAGCTTACGTCCATAAAAGTAAGTGTACAAGAATATTCATAGCGGGCTTTATCCATAATAGCCTCAAACTGGAAACAGCACAGGTATCCATCAATAAAAGAATAAAAAAAACAAACCATGATTTCCACATTCTGTGGAATGAAAGAAGCCTTACACAAACGAGGATATGCCGTATATTTCTATTTATGCAAAGTTCTAGAGCTTTAGATGTTGAGTACTTGACACATAGCTTGCGCGAGTTGAAATGTGATGTAAGCATAAATACACAAGGGATCCCAGAGACTGGGTACAAAATCCCCATAAGATATCTCATCAATAATGGTTTTATATGGATAACTTATTTAAGTGATGTTTGTATATATGAGGTTAAAATATACTATTAAAATTAACCACACCTTTTTTTACTTTTTTAATGTGGATACTAGAAAATTTCAAATTACATATGTAATTTAAATATGTCTTGCAATATATTTCTGTTGGGCAATGCTGATCTAAAATTTATAGGTAAGTGCTCACTTCGGCAGCACATATACTTAAATTGGAACCATACAGAAAAGATTAGCATGGCCCCTCCTTCACAAGGATCACATGCAAATTCATGAAGCGTTCCATATTTTTTTTTTTTTAAGATTTTATTTATTTATCTGACACAGAGAGAGACAGCTAGAGAGGGAACACAAGCAGGGGGAGTGAGAGAGGGAGAAGCAGGCTTCCCGCTGAGCAGGAGCCCGATGCGGGGCTCGATCCCAGAACCCTCGGATCATGACCTGAGCAGAAGGCAGACGCTTAACGACTGAGCCACCCAGGCACCCCCCCATATTTTTAATATATGTGAAAAATAGATAGATAGATAGATAGACAGATAGATAGATAGATAAAGTTAAAGGTCTTGGCATTCCTGCCCTTCGGCTCAGGTCATGATCCTGGGGTCCTGGGATCGAGCCCCGCATCGGGCTCCCTGCTCTGCGGGAAGCCTGCTTCTCCCTCTCCCCCTCCCCCTGCTTGTGTTCCCTCTCTCGCTGTGTCTTTGTCGAATTAAAAAAAAAAAAAAATCTAAAAAAAATAAATAAATAAAATAAAAGCACAGAGAAGGCTATCTCAAGTTTAGTCAAGCTGAAGGAAAAGTTACAGCCATCTTGGGCACGCTCTGTAAAGCTGGTCTGCTTGGGTTCAAATCTGGGTTCCAGGGCTTATTAGCTGGGTGACCTGGAGCAAGTTTCTCAACCTCTCTGGGTCTGGTTTCTTCATCTTGTAAAATGCAGATGATTAATACTTATCTCATAGGATGGTTGTATAAGTTAAGTATGTTTATCCAAGTACAGCACACAAAACAGTACCTGATACACGGATTACTTGCTGTAGGTAAATTACTTTACCGTTCGGAGCCTCAGTTTCCCCAATCATCCCATCTGAGAATGTATACGGAAAATTAAATGAGACTCCAGGTGCAAACACCCTTAGTACAGGCCTGGCTGTGTGGTAAGACTTTTAAAAGTGATTAACATTCCTTAACTATAGTTACTATTACTGTTGTTCATGCTCTTATTAATTTCCTATTTTGTTCCTATAATCATCATTTACTATTGTGTTGTCATACTCTTTCTCATTAATAGTGATATTGGAAATATTACTATTATTATCTTGCTCTTGCCCACACCTGGTCGCCCTTCCACCAAGCAGTCCCAAAGTCGGCCAGGGCCTCAGTCCCAAACCAGGCGTTCCCTCCCAGGGGCCTCTACGCCTTCATCTGATTGGAGGAGATGGAGGTGGAGCTCAGACCCCAAGTCCCCAACATGGAGCAGAGATTGACAACAGCACCCTTGAGACCTCTGGACAAGTGGGACACAGTGGCTAAGCCCACAGAACGATTCTTAAGAAGCCAAACAGAAGACAAGGTGGGCGGGGCCTGGGGAGGGTGTACGACCCATTAAACAAAGCTCCCCTCTGTCCCAAACGTTGCTAAAAGCCCCATTCACCCTCGTCACCGCTTAATGGTTTCACGGGGCATCCCCCTCGTCAGTGGGACTGCCCCACAAGCTGGCTAAACCCCAGGAGATGAAAGGAGTTCAAACCCCAACTTCCCCCAGGGCTATGGTTCTAGATCTCAGCTTCTCTGTTAAAGGTCTTGGCATTCCTGCCCTAGCTCAGCTAAGAGGTTACACTAAGAAGTCAGTGTAAGAAATGAATCCTTCAAAACACTATACAAAGGAATTAAACTTTTATTGAGACCTTTCTGTGCCAGAAGCTGACCACACAGGGGCATAAGGCACGGTCCCTGCCCTTGAGGAGCTCACAGTCTAGTAAGGAAGTTGGATGCCAAAAAAATTGCCACAGAGATGGGGGGCAGGGGCAGCAGCCAGCAGAGGAGGGCATGATTAGCCCGCTCCACCCCCCATATTCCAGATTGGCTATAAGAAGGCGAACAGGAAGCTTATCATTGTTTCTCCCATTTTCCCTGTGACAGCCCTGACTTTTCTCGGTCCCAGGCACCAAGAGGAGAGGAGGGAGAGACAAAGATGAGGGAGATGCATTTGCTGCCTTCGAAAAGCTGCAACACCCTGGCAGGATATATACAATGGTAACTTTATTTCCCAAGGCCGCAAACCAGTGCAGCAGAAGCTGGGGAGAGTGGGGGAGATTGGAAGAACAGACGCTGGGCCAGCCCAGTCCGGTCAGGGAAAGGGAAGTAACGGCAAGAGAGGGTGCCCAGGGCCAGGGAATAGGGCAAGACGGAGGTTTCTAGATGGGAAAACTCATAGTAAGTTGCCAGCAGTCACAGCCAACAGAAGTGACGCCAACCCAATGGAGAAAGTTGCAGAGCCTTTACCATAGGCCACGTCTTTTGTAGAATACTGCCCCATATTACTACGGTCCTGGTGGCCAGCAGCACCTGCGGCCAAGCTAGATTCCTCTTTCCACGAGGTCTCCGGATGTACTTCCTGTGGAGAAGTCTGGCTGGTTGGCGCTGAGGCGGGTTTGGTGGTAGAGACAGGAGTGGTTGGGGCTGGGGTGGAAGCAGTGACAGAGGTGGTTGGGGCCAGAGTGGTGGGCTTACGAGCGGGCAACAGGACAAGGGGTGGGATTCGAGGGGAGAAAAAGGTCTTGTTGTGGAGGTCCGAGTTACAGCGGGACCCCTGGCAGCAGGAGCCACTGAGTGTGAACCCTGGGCCTGTCACCGCATCCCGGGTGCAGAACTCGTCCTGGACACAGCCCCGAACAGGCAAGGATACAGTCACATTCGCTGCAGGAGGGAGACACAGGTAGGTCGGTGGGGGTAGGGTTGCAGATAGGGGCAAGACAAGGGCAAGAACGCCCAAAACGGGGGGCAGAAGGGCTCGGCATCCATTAATCCAAAGTCTCAATTCAGGCCCCACTTTGAGAAACTCTGTCCCACTGTCTCTGGCACATGGTGAACCACATTTCCCACTTTTGAGAGGAAAAGTGTGCAGGATGAACTACAAGTCCCACAATGCCTTGGGAGAAAAGTTGGGGAAGTTTGGACAGGGATACACCTCTCACAAGACCAAAGAGCCCAACAAACTTTCCCTACAGCCCTCTCCTCATTTTTTCCCCCATCTCTCTCCCTTCCACCCCCACCCCTGCCAAAATTTTGGCTTAAGAGTTCAGAACTACATCTCCCAGGCAGAAGAGGCGTCTGAAAAACATCCCCCAGGGCTCCCCGAGGCAGAGAGAGGCCAGCAGGATGAACTACCTCTCTCCTAAGTGGTTGGGGCGGGGGCGAACCCCTTGAGTTTTAAGGAGTCGGAACTAGAGTCCCTGCAATCTAGAAGCTTGGAGGCTTCCATTTCCCATAACACATCGTGCCATTCTGCACCTGGCACGCCTCTACGGAAATGTATTTCACCAAAAAACCCTCTAGGGCAAAAGCATCCGCAGCCCCGTGCTACGTTGGGGATAGAGCTGCATCTCTCCTGACGCTCTAGCATCAGACAAGAACTTAGGCCTACAGTTTCCAGAACGTGTTGGAGGTGGAGGAACTCTTCGGGTAAAGGGCTACCCACCGCCCATGAGGCCTCAGAGAGGCTACCACAACTCCCGTGGACCCCGAGCTCCCGACTCGCTCACCTGCCGTCAGGGTGACGTTACCGTCGAAGCAGCCCTTGTAGACGCGGTCGCTGGCGTTGTAGCAGCTCACGACGGGCGGCGCCGTGCCCTGGCACGCCTTGCGGCTCAGCCCCACGCAGCTGTAGCACTCGGCACCGTTGGGCGGGTACGCACTCTCGTTGCCTGCGAGGGCAGCGGGTTGGAGGGAAGGGGTCCAGAAGGTTCCGGAAGCACGTCTCCGCCCCCCGACGGACTCCGGGCTCAGTCCCCCTAGCCCCGCCCAGGGTGTGGCCCGCCCCCACCCAGTGGCCTCTCTCCCTCCCCATGGCCCCGCCCCTAGCGTCCCACCCCACGGGGCCTCCCGCGATGAAGCCCCGCCTGCCGTCGCGTGGCCCCGCCCCCAGCCCGTGCCGCGTTCTCCCGCCTCCAGGTTGGGATCACCTTAGTGGCTCAGCGGCGGTGTGGCTCCGCCCCCGAGCCTAGGGCCCCGCCCCCACCGACCTGAGGGGTTGAGCGCTCGCGACGTGAGGTTGAGTTTGGTGTTGCAGCGGTCCTGGGAGCACTGCTGCAGCTGAATGAAGGCCAGAAGCCCGTGAAGGTCCAGGCCGCGGTCATTCTTGCCCGGGAGTCCCGAACCGCAGCCCCGCACTGCCACCGAGAACTGCCCGTGGACTGCGGAGAGGGGAGGGGGCGGAGTCAGGGGCGGGGCCTCGGGGCAGGGCCTCTAGTGGACCCCCCTTCCCCCCCCCAGAAGACAGCCGGGCCAGGGTCGAAGGGCAGGGGCCTCAGAAAGCCGATCGAACGACAGACGGAGGGGCAGAACCTCAAAGAGCTGAGTCCGAGGGAACAGACAGGCTGACAGACTCTGGACACAACCGAGGGGGGAGGGCCAAGAGTGGAGTAGGACGGGGCCGGGCGACAGAGGAACGGAACCGCAGAAAGCATCCTAAGAAGGAACTGGGAGACTGACAGAAAGGGCACAGGAGCAGAGACAGGTGGGGACTCCCAGGAGCTGTAGCCTTAGATAGGGGCGGCATTCCCCCCGGGGGTGAGCCAGCGGGGCGGAGCCTCAGTCTAGGGAACCTAGCAGGAGACCTCGAGAGGGGTCTGCATGATCACGGGCCTACCTGGATAGAGGAATCTGGCAGGGACAGGGTGAGTAGGGAGGTCTCAGGGGCGGGGCGGAAATGGATAGGGTGTGCCCTCGAAGCGGACCTGGTCCCAAATCCGGGCTCTCCCAGTTCACCCCACTCACCCCTCAGTCCCGCGCCCTAACGGCGTGGTTGTGTTGAAGGGCTTCCAGCCAGGCTGAAAGGGACGCTTGGAGGGCGCGGAATGGATGTGGGCCCATTCAGAAGGGGCGGACAAAAGGAGGCAGGGCCTGGCTGGGGGAGCGTGTAGGGGTAGGAATGGACCAGAGGGCCCCACTCACTGGTCTCCACCGCCCCCACGGCCTCTGTGCAGACGTCCACGCCCGGCGCGCACTTCACCGTCTTGGTCTTCTGCGGAGAGCATCCGTCATCCGCTTTCTGCACGCAGCTGTAGCACTCCAG